TCCTCTAGTCAAACTTCAACGGATGACAATCATAATGCATGGATCTCTTACATCTGACTTTGCTCAGAGTCGCCTGCTAAAAACAATTGTCTTCTTTCATGTCTAATACGTGCTATGCTGAAGCAAAATGATTGTTCAAAGCTCTATTGAACTACAGATAACAAGATAACATAAATAGCAGAAAAACTTTCAGTCAAGTAATAGGGCCATCCATCCATGAGCCAGAAGAATTCATAATCTTGCTTTTCGTATGAAAAGTCTATTGCCTAGGAAGTAGGTAATCATATGATCCTGTAAAGACATCCAATCATAGGTCATCTGGGTAAATACATAAGGACGAAATTAGATTTTTTAAGTATTGCAGGTTCAGCTCCTTCAATAAGAACTAATATGGGCTGGGTAAGTCTTGCTCTGGAGAAAGAGAGAATTTGTGATATAAGAGGAGGGAGTGTTGTATTAAGTGTCACAAATAAATAGATGCTGACCAACTTGAGCCTGAGAGGATGGTTGCAAATACACATTAACAATTATCATTGTTATAATCATCCCTATGATGATTAAAGTGGCATTAATAAGGGTGAATTTGTTTTGCAGAAAATGAATGACTTGGAAAATATTTTCCTAAAAATGATCACTTGTATTGCTTATAAAAATGAACGAAATAAAAATATTTTCACCGTCCATAAAAATGTTTAGACATAAATTGTCGTGGATAATGAAAACATTTTTTTAACTAATTATTTATAGTAATTATTTTTAGAAAAATATTTTCCAAATCATTTATTTTCTGCGAAACAAATAGGGCTTAAGTAAGAAGGATGTGCATTGACAACCAATGAACAATGGATTAGGTGGTGTGATAGAATGGATTACTTATTTTGTATTGGCAGATTATTTGTTATGTTCGTAGAACAAAGTGGATATTGATATTTCTCAAAGCATATTTTCGTAGCTCTCTTTCAATGGTATGAATATATGGTTGCCACTATTGATGAAGGCTCTAGTAAATGACATAGTTTTCTTAACTCTTCTTCAGTTTAAAGTGATGCTGGAAATGTTGAAGTCACCCACACTAACACTCTCATAAACCACACTCGAGATTAGACAAGGTTGACAATAAGAGTCAGCAATGACTTTGTAAACAGGAAGTCTCCTCCATTGATATAGGCTTGAATCTATGATAGTACTCTCTTTTAGGGAACTAATCATTCGCAAATATTAGTTCAGTATTGGTAATTGTGAAATAACCTTGATTTACCTATGTATAACTTGATTACCTACAAAATGAATCTTTCTAATTCTTTGAAAAGCTGAAAAATCCGAATTTCTATCTTTTAACTATTAACTGTGATTTGATGTTTGATATGGCTATTGAGTGAAAATTTATTAAAAGTGACTAAACAAATAGGTTGACATGTCTTCACAAAAGTACACATAGACGTGTTGATGGATAGCACAATTCTGATGAATTTAGGTTGGATATGGCGTCAAATAACACGACTCTGATGAATTTAAGTTAAATATGGCGTCGGTAAATGATTCCCTTGATATTTCCTAATTGGTGGTCAAATTACTGATCAAAGCAAATGATCAGCTATAAACCTTGCCTCTTTTCTCCTTTCCTCATCTTAATATTTTTCTCCTTTTTCCTCATCATTGTTTTGGTTAAGTACATTGAGTTAATAGGCTTGCAACCTCATCTGATAGTTTTAATGCTGTTGGAGAAAGATAAACTTTGGCAGTTTTCCTTTTTCACTTTCTTTTTGGGTAGGGCTACAATTTCCTCAGAAATCATAAATACGAGTTGTTTGGTATCTTTGGCTAAGTGAGCCTACTAGATCATTTGTGAGGTTGAAAATATTGGAACCAATGTTTGAACTACTAAAATGTGTCTTGCCAGTTGTTACATCACAACTTTCTGGAATCTAATGCAAGAAAGTAACACTTAAACGTACAAACAATATAAAGTCAGGAGTTCGATCATGTCTTTCATTCTATGTGGGAAGGAACAGGATTCATGTGCATTTCTATTGCTTTCTATGATGAAATCCACAACAACATGGTGCTAGATCTTTTATGAGCCTATCAAGTTGGTCATATCATGTTTCTTTAATATTTTGACTTAAGTATGTACACAAAGAACCACTTCATAATTAGGTTTATTCATTACCTAAATCCTTGTTTTTGCTCCTTTTTTTTCCATGATTTGCTTTTGAGACATGTTAAGAATTTTTCCTTTGAAATGCCAAAGGAAAGTTGACAATAACTTATCTTCAACGATATCATTAAAAGCTACTTAAGGCCAATAAGTGTTGGACGCTAATTTTTGAAAGAGTACGAGGTATTCCGGCCTTTCACCTCAACTAATCTATCGCAGAAACATGCAAATTGTCCCATCCACGTACACTAGGTATGGCTCCATCCAAGGTTCATTTGTGTGGGAGATGGTATGATTGGAACATGGACGTGGCGTATCCAAATGAAGCAATCGATCCTTAGGTAACACATTAGACATCATTTAGAACTAGGACTGTATGACTATGCTTGCCAATAAATGAAAGACCAAACCTGTTAATCCGCGTGACCAGTTAAACTGAAAACCACTTAAAGATTCTATATTATTGATAAGTTGAACAAGGCATCGCCAAAATCCATTTTGAAGCATCATTACTTAGGTTGAATTGATATAAGCATGTCGTTTGGGTCTGCTTCAATTCATGTCATGATCGAGTAAGGCTCTCAATTCATGTCGTGATCGAGTAAGGCCCATTCCTTTATTATGCAACCTCGAACCCAACCTTGAGACATGGAAGATGAAGCTTTCATCAATATATAACTCTTATCTGTTCTCCAGTTATCTCTTTCCAATAGAGTTTCAATGCCCATCTCTTCTTTCACTTGTAAGATTGCATGGTTGGAGGATTGGGTGGAGCTATTATTATACAAAAATTGCTGATGGAGTTTCCTAATGGCCTTAATTTTTTGGTGGGCAGTTGCCTGGTAGGTTGTGCCTTTGTTTCTGTTTTAACTTAATGATGCATAGCAATTGATAGAAGCCCGGTTGCCGTATATCAGATTTGGTTCCTATCAACTTTTGAAAATGTTATTTCTCATTGTCATTTGGAATTATCTGGTTAGCTAGGTGTAAATCGGCTTGCATAAGGATAGAACTTTATATCTTCCTAATCTTGAAATGGGCGTAGAATTTATTTGTTCATTCATACACTCAAATGCTTTGTTTTTGAATTTGAATGAATGTCTCTCGATTTGTTTTTTCACAGAAATCTCTTGATGCTTTGTGATGATTATATGGTCTTGCCATTTTATAAGACGAAGTTGGTATGGTGAGCTCAAGAGGCTGCTGGGGTTATATGTCACTCGCCAACTCTAGCATGTCTCTGAATATCATCTTAATGCTGTTTGGCAATGGATCAAAGGGCTTTTTCTCTCTGTTGGTTTTAGCTGGTCATATGTCATAAAGTCAGATTCAGTGGTTCAGCTTATAGTCGAGATTTATTATTTTATGCATACCTTAGGCATGGGGTTAAATTCTCCTTTCATTGTTTCTTGGCTTGAATTGTTTGCTTGTCTGACCTTTGCATCCCACCACTCAATAGACTTCTTAAAGAAGTGGTTGTGAAGTCAAAAGGCAATCTCTTTTGGGAGTTACTGAGGATTATGGTCAAAACACAATTACCGGTGCTGATCTTGCTGTTATAATCTTAAGCTCAATCAAAAGGTCGTTAAAAACTGGATCTTTGTTCCAGATCAGGTTTTGGGTTTTATTTTTTCCCAGAAGAAGTATCTCATCACTTGGCTTAAAGACAAATGTCTGGACTACGTTTTAAGAATTTAAAGGGACCTACATTCTTTTTATGTTGTTTAGGAAATTAATGGCCAGACAGAGGACGACACATATTTAGGAAATTAACTGGTTAGACCGCGAAGAGACAGATTCCCGGTGTATTAAACTCAACTGACCATTTACTGAATCACATGCTGTCTCTGTGGGATGCTTGCTTCATATAATATTTGAGGTAGATGTCATTTTAAGAATGTGTATTGAGTTGGATGTCATTTTAAAGAATGTGTGTTGGTTTTTTATTCACATATGAACCTTCGTGCTGGCTCTTGGACAAGTAAAACATTTTTGGGTTAGAGAATGTGGAGCAATCTTGTTTATAAGCGGAACATGTGACATCAGCTTTGCTGCAACCTTGATGACAGAACGAATTCTTTGCTTTTTATAATAAAACTTACTTTGTGTGACAACGGTCGAACTTTCTGGGCAACTCCAGATTCTAGCAAGAATATTCTGATGTAACAATTTCATCTATATGTGGAAGATCTATCTCATTGAGTTTTACAGTCTGGTCAATACTGATGTTTCTGAATTTTTGGCTGGAAGAAGGGCTTGGGTTGAGTAATTTTGGGATGTAGTCCGATTCTTATGCTTCTGTTCAGTTTATACCATTCATACTCTACAAGATGATCACTGCCATATGAATGTAATCGATTACGAATTGGAATGGTTGACTGCACCCGTCACACCCTCAGCATTCTACATAAGTCTAGTCAAGTTGCTATACTCTGCTATACTCTCTGTAGATAGATGTCTGAGGAGCTGGAATCACCTTCAGAGGTGATTAGGGCATATCCTTCTCCTACTTTTGTTCTTATGTGCCGCTGGCTAGGTATGGTTTCGTCAAATATCTCCCTTGCTGGTCCTGGAGTAACATGTTGGAGCTATTATCTATTTTTCTATAACATTTCTTCATGCCTATATTTAGCTTTTCCTGCATTTGGATGTTGCCATTCTATTCCTTCCTGCCAGTGCACTGATCACTACGTCATTGGCATCATTCATGACTGATGTTGCTTCCTTTTCTGACCTTCTTTGAGACTCTGTCATAGATTAGTGTAGCCTCGCGTCTGGCTCTAATCTAGTGATCTACAGTCTTGATACTTATAGTACTAAATGCACTGAGTCCTTGGTTCAGCTTGGCTGAGATCCTTGAGCGTTACCGGAATCATTCAGAAGAAGCAGAGGGCTCCAAAGATGCTAACGAGGTATTTACTAATTTTGTACTGAGAGCTTGATACTAAAGCATTACTTCATTGGGATCTGAGGAAAAAGCCAATAGAGCTGACACCAAGGATCAGTCGGATTTAAATCCCATTAAAGAGGAAACCATAAAAGGTCTTCATTCAAATTCTATCCGTCTAAGATTTATCATTGATTTAGATGCTAAATCACAATCTGAGTTCCATCTGTCTAAATTGGATCATGTTAGTAGCCTGACTTACAAAAATGGTTTGGCGGGTGTTGTCTGGTCTTTTCAATACTTAATTGATTAATTCTTTGGAAAGACTCAATGTTTAATACGTAATGGTGCAGTGGAGCATCTTTATCAGATTAGACATGCCATTGAATCAGTTACGTGTTGTCTGTAGTCACGATTCTTGTTGACTAAAGTTGTGTAGCTTTGCATACATACTTTTCCCTACACTTGCGCTTAATTGCTATCCATCTTCTAGGACACAACTACTATTGTAGCCGCAAAATCCACTCCTTAATGATCGTTTTTTCTTAGGGATGCCCATCTGGAGAATCAAGCCTGCTATCACCCTCACAGCTGCTGCAGTTAGTTCAAAGGCAATATACTTTGGCTTCTCCAACTTCAGCTCATCAGGCATAGGATTAAGCTTGTTTACCATTCTTTCCTCCTCCATTTGTTGCAGATACGTGGAAGGGCCAGATGATGACAATGTCAGTGTGACTGATCTTGTGCATTTGGAAGAACAACTTGATGCCGCTATCGTGCAGACTCGACACAGAAAGGTGTCGTCTCTGATTTTCCTCAACAAGCGAAAGTTTAATCCCTCTTCTCTGAGGCACAATATCTTTGAATTCTATGAAATTGCAATACAATGCGAGTGCTGTTGAGATTAACCTGGGGCCCATAAATCTTTGCTTTCTATGCTGACTGATCTATCTAATTATTGGCAGTTACAGTTCGTCTGAGTAAGGGTGTGGCTGTGGATGTTAACTGCAGTTATCGTGGGATTGTTCTCTCCAGAATTTTTTTCCATGATGCTGTATCACTGGACCATTCGTGATCAGCTTTTTGAACTTTAATTTATCACTTCTTTAAGATGAACCTACTTCGGACTTGCAACTCTTCTTCCTAATTTATAATTTTGTCCCTGCATAATCTTAAGATTCCATTGACATTCACTTTCTCCCTCCTGAATGGTAACATTTTTTTAGCAACATTGGGCCCACTCCACGTCAAGTATATTAGTTTACCGTTGAGGTCACTTTGTGCAACATTTCCAGGGTAGATCACCGGATATTTACACGGTTCTCTTAAATTGTAATGGGGGTCTGTAGTATAATGGCACTAACATGTGGACAAATACAGGCGTGGAGTTTCTCCAAACTTAGTTAATTGAATATTCAAATTTGATACAATGAGGTCAAAGTTGCTTTGACTTCCAGTCACATGTTCTGGATTTGCACAAACTGGGATTGATAAACCTTTTATGATCTTATTGACCATAGAAGAGTTTAATTCGCACCATTGTAGCTCAGCACCAATCAATAATCCCCAAAGAATTTCAAGAATTTTTCTAGTATGCTTGTTCCAACCCTCAATTCCGTTTTCTAGATTTGATTTAATTGGACAAAGTTGTTCCACTCTTTGAAGGCACTGTGTTATATCTTCAGATCTATGTATCTCCTTTGTAAAGGATTTCTCCACAATGGCCGTGAACAGTTGCTGCTTGAGTGGCCAAATAAGGCAACAGTTGCTGCTCGAGTGGCAGAATAAGGCTTGACTGATCTTATGCAATAGACTTCTAGCTGTATCCAGTTGTTTGTGCAACTTATGCACAATTCTTGCATGATGACTTGTTTCTTATCAGTAATTCTTTCTGTAGACTCAGCTGATGACGGAGTCTGTCATTACTCTCCAAGATCAGGTATGCAATTTCAACTCTTTCTTCCTTTCTTTTAATTAGCTCCTCCTGTATCAATTGAATTTCTGGAGCAGAACTATATGTACATCTAGATTCTTCAAAATGCCACTCGAAGGTTTCTATTCTGATGGATATAGCTTCTGCAAGTGTCAAGCCATTCTATCTGACCGTAGGGACTGAGGGGCGGACTTAGGTGGCCATAAGTGCACTTCACTTCACGACCATGTGAATTTAACCTGTAAAGACGACTACTAAGGCTGCCACCTCCACAACTATCTCTTACCCCCTCGCTTTCATAAATGTCTGTTTACCTCTCTCCCTCTCTTTTCTTCTCTTTCATGGGGTAGGGCAGCCGCTGGGAATTGGGTGGGGTGGCTGCCAGCAATGCTCAGAGACGGAGTGACCTTTGCAGAATTGGTCAGTGACAGCATCGAGAGAGCGGTGATTGGGTTGGTGGGTTATAGAGAGTGGGGCTGAACCATCTGACAAAACACACTACAAAGAATTGAGAAGTAGTGTATTTATTGTGCGAGAAATAGTTCCTTACATGTATTGGTTTAGGTCCGTAACCCACCAATTTTAACCAATGATGTTGCTGCCTGGTTACAGGCTAACCAAGTCTCAGAAGGAATCACTATTCGTTCTTGCTGTCAGCAGAAAATGTCTTAATATGCAGACCGAGAGGAAAAGGTTTCCTACCTTATCCTGTGGAGTTGAGGAGAAAACTTTCCCTCTTTAGAGCATCCTAAGGAAGCTCAACCGGATCATCTGCTGCTGTATTTCTTGTCGAGTCCTATCGTCACTTCTCTTTGAGAAGTTTACATGTCCTAATGGGTTTTCCACTTTCCAGAGAACAACACTAAACTCCATTACTGGGAGTTTTTCATGCTCTGGCAAAGAGTTTGAAATATGCTAGGTCATTCTCCTCTTGCCCAGATTACCTCCATTTCAAAACTATATTGGAGGATCCACTTTCAGAATGCCGCAAAAGATTAACTGCATATTGCAGTTGAAAGCAGCTTGTTTCTCTGCCAAGGGAAAAATGTTGATAATCTAATCGATCCAACTTCAGAGTTGAAGTTACATTGGGGCTTAGGTCTCGTGTGGGATATGTTACTTGGTTAGTACATATAGTACATCCAGCTAACAAGTCTACCCAGTAACACAGGAATATGTACATAAGAAGTCAAGAGCACACCACTCAAAAAGAAGACAGAAAAGTAATGAGGACAGAGCATCAACAATATAGAGGTATAAATCCTGTGGAAGATATAAACTATTCGGAAGTGTAATCATCGGCTTCCAAAAGGTAAACAAAACAACTTTCAAAGGAACGACAGTATTAACCTGTCCAGTAGTTCAGGGCGATATTTCAAGTGTCACCTGAAGTCTGCTGGTGCACAGCTTTGAAGGAATGTGAGATTCTGACTCTGTAGACAGTATAGACAAAGAAAGTGTTGATAAAACTTGATAAAAATTTAAAACTGGTGCAACTTTTCATACAATAGAGAAAAAAATAGATCAAAATGTTAGAGACTCCAGCTATATCGAGTTTGATGCATTGGTATTCTCTACAGGAAAGGTTGCTGAGAGAAGAGAACGAACTACTGGAGAGGGAGGTGTGTCTTTCAACTTTTCTGTTCAAGATACTCTTTGGCAAATTGTATACGTGTCATTGATATATATGCAATATGATGTGCAGATAGCGTCCATGACGGCGAATGATGAACCCTCGAATGAGGCTGCAATTAGACATTTGGGGCTAGAAGACAACCAGTCCGTTGACCAATCTCAACAAGCTACACTCAATTTTCTCCAATAATTACGGAGGAGACGGCAATGCCCAAGTTCAAGAACCACGAGGCCGGTCGCAGTTGCAGCAAGTTTCGTGCTTCGACCAAGTGAAACTCTGCCGACAACCTCGCCGATACAAAATGCACGAGGTTACCTGCCATTTTGATTTTGTATGTTGTTGTCTATTAAGACGCGAGAGAATTTGCTACTCGTAAGGTCAATTATGATCTGTAGATTGTGATCTGTGGAGTGCTGGTGACAAGTGATTCTCTTCATGACTGCCGTGGCCGTGGCCATGTCGTCGATTCTATCCTCTCTTCTGATCCGGAGAGGATGTACTGTTAATTGCTGGATGTACCAAACCTGATGGTGTACGTCTAATAAAAGTAACTTTTGTGGGCTATTATTTCACCAAGATTGTTTTTATCGCTTCTCACTTGGAGTTAACAAGGCGTCGTTGTTTTCTACTCTCTGACGAGAGTTGGGCTTTTCTTTTTCTTTTAAAAAAAAAGCAGAGTCTAAATTAACTTTTTGGAGGATATCATAAGAGTAAACTAAACATTGTCTAGCTCACACTTGCCTTTCTACACAGCTTACAAGAGAGATACAACGAGCAAAACCGGGGCCCTGTAGTCAGCAATGTGGTTATTTTTGTTCAGTTATGTGATTCTTGCAGAAGCGCTTCTCCATTCCACCATTTCAAAACTTTGGGGTTTACAAGGCGTCTTCGTTGATTTAGATATGCTTTGGCTAAATGGTAAGAGAAAGGCTAATAGTGAATAATAGGCCCGATAAACTCCCCTCCGTCTGAAGACTCGGTTCGCCGTCGGTTTGCAAACAAGAATGCTTCGTAGGGGAAGATGGATCGGAGCTCGGTAACCGCAATTCTACTCTTTCCCACACTTTTCTCCCCTGGGTGGGTAATCGTTGATCCTTTAGTACCAGCTATTCCTACTTGTATCAATCTTTTTTCTGTATGTGTCGTGCTACAGATCTTTCGACCATGGTTTACTGGTTATTGATGGCATTATTTGGGTTAGAGACACCGATCGTGTCACATGGCAACATCAAACCAATTTGGTTGGAGATTTACAGTTCATCTTATGAATGATCCACCGACTCGTGCCAACTTTTGCCACCAACCTCAGGTGGACACTTGTACTTACACAATTGCAGACACCGAGCAATCCATGCACATGCCTATGCACGAAGAAGAAGCTGAGTTCAAGACTCGATGGCAACTCTACGAAAACACGATGATCCGCCATCGTCGAGCCGACACACTACAAATGTCATGGCTTCTCCACTTCTATTGCGCATCGAATCTTTTTCTCTCACTTGTGTTACGACATGGGACGTTTGAGCATACGATTCATCGATCTTATACGGACCAGGTAATCGTGCTGAGCTGCGTGCGCGATTTCTACGTGTTTCTCTCATCCGTCGTTTTTTACATCAGAATGCGCAGAGACGGGGGTGGGGGACGAGCGCACGAAATGATTGACAAAAGTGGTTGTAAGGGGAGTCTAACTATTGCTCACACAAACGAAACAACCGCGACGATGCAAAAAAAAGCAACCGAAAAGAAATGGAAAGTGGCAACAAAAGCAGGAGATCATCATCACGCAACTGAAACAAGGAAGGGAAGGCTCGTAAAAACATAAGGAATCGAATGCCGTACCTCTCGAATCCGCTCGACCAAAACTGCGTCCGAGAACACGATCCGATCCCGCGGGCAACGAGCCAGAAACTATCAACTGACATTATTACCAAAGCTTCTGATCAGACAGAGAGACGATATAAGACACGTCCCAAAACAAATTATACAGCCCTCGACTCACTCGATCGTTGCAATGATCTCCATCGCGAACTCTGCTTCGGATGCGCAGTTCTCCACGAGAGATAGAGATAGAGAGAGAGAGAGAGAGAGAGAGGGGCACAGACGTGAGAGTGCGTGCGCGTGCGCTTGAAGGTGGGGTGCTTCGAGTTACTAAAAAGTGGATAAATAGAGCAGAGTCCGCCTTACGTTTGGACCCGTCTTAGGTTTGCCCGGTGGCTCTTCGAAGCGCTATTGCACCACGGTGAGACTCTGTCCTTCTTTCGGAAATCCCTCCCCATTGGGGGGGTATCTCACTTTAATACGAAAAAGATTACAAGTGGAGAAATTTGATTCTATTAACCACCACCTGCAGAAATATCAGTGACTTTATTAAGTACACTAGATAAGAAGTGGGATTCGTTTTGAAAATAACGCCACGCATGGCACAAGACAGTGACTATACATCACCATTATCTTTCCGATTAAAATAGCGTGACCCATTCACAAAATTGTCGTATAAATGCGTGGGCGAAAGCCACCCAAAACCCTAAATTATGTCCATCATGACACGTGTGTCTTAAACTTTTTCAAACTTATACTTGTGAGACACATTTACTCTCCGTCAAAATTCTGTCAATGAGAACATACCACCCACATAACCTAAGTTAAATAAAAACGACATTATTTTTTTCTCAAAAGCCATCTAACAGAACCTCGATCGAGGATAAATGCGTCACATTGATACAAATTAGGCATGTTTATGTCACAAGAAAAAGTTCAAGGTAAATGTGTAAAAGTAGATATAATTTGAGATTTTTGATGTCGCGAAAAAAAATTCCATATCATAGTTTGAAATTTTTTGCGATTTTTTTCCTTAACTGTGAATGGAGCTTCCTTGGCACCTTTGCTCCTTTCGCAGGTGTCAAAGATTCTCCTTTTCTTAACATTTTTTCCTTTGCCACTTGCCAACCAAAATATACACAACCTTTTCAGTCCCCGAAAAACAAGGATAGACGAGTTGACTGCGTTCCCCCTTTCTAGTCTCTGACACCCGCCACCCGCCAGATCAGCGGCTCGGGCCAATTGGATTCTCAGAAATCTAAATCACTGAATCGAAAGGCGAGACTTCTACCGGACTTCGAATTATGGTACAAATGAGCCCAACTAATATGTTGGACCAGGTGGGTCCACTGCGACTGATCCCGTTCCGCACGTGCTGGAGGATTTCTTCACGAAATTACTGGCGACTTGGAATCGAATTTGCGAATTGACGCGATAAAAATTTTCAGTTGATGCACATGTACAGCTCGTCTTGATAAGCAGACGGCGTTTTCATGATGGTGTAATTGCATCTACACCCGTCCGGCTGAGCGAACCGACTGCCTCGAAACGAATAAGAAAAGTAAATGGATGTGTGAGTCGGAACTCATTGGTGAAGGACCAAAAATCTGTTTAAGTTTCTTTTCTGGAGGGTGTTTGAATAAAATGAATTTTTTTTTGTTCGCTTGGAGTATCCATGTTTTTACGATACAATTTCGTTTTTGCTTTTTGAGAGTTTACTTCTGATTTGGTAAGAAATGCCGAAGGTCTTTCGGAACTTATAGATATGGACATTTTCGAAGTTTCTAACACGTAGCAGATATTGTTACGTTGTTAATATCGAAGAAAGGATTCATTCTTAAGTAAAACAGAAAAAAAAAAGTATATTTTTTAAATTTCGCAAAAAAAGTAATTCTATCAATCGCTACCTACACAAATCAAACTCTATACACGGCTTATTAATTATACTAAATACGAAATGTCTTGTTTTGAATAGGAATACAGTATTCATATTTGCAAAATTTTTCTAATTTAATTCTCTTATAAAATGCGGATGGAGCTTCTTGGGCACCGGCTGCTTCATTTCCACGTGTCGGCAATCCCCTTGTTCTTAACCTTTTGTTTGCCACGTGTCAGTCAAGTATTCAATTTCTACTCTCCAAAAAAGAAAGAAAAAATGAAAGAATTAATATCACGAACAACCCCAAATTAGTACATCTACGATAATTTTATTTCGAATTAATTTTTTGACCACCAAAAATCCCAAACTAGTGCACCTGTGATAAATTTACCCCGAACTATTTTTTTTATCACCAAAAACTCTATATTGGTACATTTGTAATAATTTTACCCCGAACTAATTTTTTGATCACAAAAAATCTCAAATTTGTACACCTGTGACAATTTTACCCCAAATTAATTTTTTGACCACTAAAAACTCCAAACTGGTACATTTGTGACAAATTTGCCCTCCGTTAATATCCGTTAAATTGGATTAATATCATGAAAAATCACAAATTGGTAAACTTGTGACAAACATAGGAGTAAAATCCCAAATTAGTACACCCGTCAATTATCACGTGTTATCAAACTTAGCAATTTGACAGTAAAATTTAACAAAAACTAACGGAGGGTAAATTTCTCACAAGTGTACCAGTTTGGATTTTCAGTGGTCAAAAAATTAGTTCGGGGTAAAATTATCATAGATGTACCAGTTTGGGATTTTTTATGATCAAAAAACTAATTTGGGGTAAAATTATCACAAGTGTATCAATTTTGGGTTTTTTGTGGTCAAAAAAATAGTTTGGAGTAAATTTATCACAGGTATATCAGTTTGGGGTTTTTCGTGATATTAATCCAAAAAGAAAAGAGACCATTTTCGATTGAACTTTCTGGTGAGTTTTTCAACAAAATGAAAAGGAAAGTTTCAATGTGCCATGCAACATAAGTGAGAAAAACAAGAGATAGTAAGAAAATTGATCATCACACTCAAGAAGTTCATGAAAATAAGAATAACTCTCATTTCGAGCCCCATACAGACTTCGAATCGGATGATTTATCGAGGTTTGAGACAGTTAGGTCGATAATACGAAAAAACCAATCGTTATCGTCACAGCCTTTACACTACCACCAGGGATCATTGGTATTGTTTATATTATTGTCCCATCCTCTTGTCAAGTTGAAACTCCAGTCACGACTTGCTGAAGTGAGCTCACACTCGCCGAATGATTTCAAAGTAATTTGTTATGCTTAAGTCCGAATATAGCTCGTGCTACATTGTTGTGTCTTAATTATCCCAAATCACTAGAAACATATAGAAAACGCATAAGGAAAAATCAATAAGAAGAGAGACTACCGTAGGATTTGTATGTTTGAAGAAAAATTGTTCCCGGAAAATTGGTTTTCCAAATTTATGGTGGTTTAGATGATGAAAAATTAATCAATTTACGGAAAACATTTTTGATATACTGAAAACAACAAATTTAAATTGAGAGAAAACGACTTTCCTTTCTAGTAAGAAAAAAAATAATTTCCGTAAATACTAAATAAACGAAAGCTAATTATTTTCCTCTCGTTGGAAAATATTTTCCTTAATCATTAAATGTTTATCAAAACAAATTCACCCATAATTTCCTAGCTATTGGACAAGAAAGAATTGGACAGTTGACCTATCATATTCCATATGGACCTACCAACCTAATAATTTAATTTATCTGGTGGACCCACTTCATTCAATAATTGCTCCTTTCGCACTCCATCTGATTTGACGGTTTGCCCTCCTCAAATGTTAAACGTGGGAACCCGTCAAAAAACATACGATACATGTGAGATCCTGATTTGTGAAAATGATGTATCCAAATTCCCGATGGCTCCTTCTGTTAACCAGTTGACCTTTTCAATTCCTATACCTTTCATGCCTAATTCATCTCCTATCAAAGAGAAAAAAACAATCGAAGTGGTCACGCGACAAAGTCGAGCACTTCAATATAGCTTCACTCGACATACACGTCGTCTTTCGAAAGTCCCCTTTGTTCGCTCGATCATATGTGTTTTTTTTCTTTTCAATGCTTGCACCCGACCAAACACATAAGTGCCATCCGACACCACGAGAGGAAACTGCATTAAAATTGAATAAATAACGTTAATCGCGCTTGCCAATTAATGTTCTTCTGCCTAATAAAAGAGACCACGCGCTATTAATGATCGCGATCGCAATGTCCTGGGATTTAGAAGTATGTCTTAGTTTTCTGGGCCGACGAGGTCTTAGATAATGGGCCCCTTGGGGGTCAATCCAGTCCGAAGTGTTCGTACCGTGTAATGTAATTCTGTTCGTTTGAAAGGTTTTCAGTAGGTATCTTGGAAACCGCAGGGTCACTTCCAAGGAGGCTCTAGGACTCCATGAAGAAGGTTTCAAACTTCAAAAACTCGAAGTTGCTGGCACTTGACATGTTTTCAAGGGAGTTGTCGGCGATGAATTAATTTAATATATATATATATATATGTTACATTTTGTGACGAATTAGCATCTTGCGAAGCGTGTGATCTATAAAATTTCTCATAAAGATTGCTTAATAAGTGTCATACGAGCACTCATTAACAATACCCTTTTGCAAGATCGAGTAATTACCCTACCCATCCAAAAAATTAGCTCGCCCTTATGTAGCTACTTCTTGTGTTGAAGTTAGAGGTTTAAGCAAGTCAAACTATTCACGAGTTGCTCGAGTTTGATTAGAAGATTGTTTGGACTCAGCTCGAGGTTTAAGCTAAATCTGGCATCGGCCAGCCTTGCCTGAGGTAGCATGACCTTAGGTGATGATTGCTTGGATCACACGACCTCAGGCGAGGTTGACTGGTGCCAGATCTAGTTGGCTGGCCGCTCACCGGCAATTTGATCCTTTCAATGGCGACATTGCATAAGGCGAGGGCATTAATAAAATTATGAAAGTTTAGCAAGGGTAAAATTGAAAGAAAAAAATGTATTAACATTTCGAAAATTGCTTAAAGCACTTCCATATCTACCTCAGGCTAAGGTCTTTAGACATCTTTGGAAATGCATGCATCCCTCCAAAACTCTCCAAAAAATTTGGCTATTTGAATTTGCTTAAGGGCCTTTAGAGTCTGGAGGGCTTTGAGGTGGTGAGTACGATGAATTCGATCAGGCATTCTCTATCTATTTTCATTGTTCAACTCTTTGACAACATGAAGCCTGAAGTGATTGTTGCTTTCATGTGTAGGTTGTTCTAGTACTACTAGTAGTAGTAGTAGTTGAATCATCCA